AAATAAGTGAGGATATTGTATTCGCATAACTTCTTCACTTTCCCAAGTCGCTTCTTCAATCGTATGACCCCTCCACAATACCTTTACCAGTGATATAGTTTTATTCTGCAGCACTTGCTCCCGGCGATCCACAATCTGTACCGGTTCCTCTACATAAGTCAAATCTTCCTTCAACTTTATCGGTTCTGCAACTAAAACATGAGATGGATCCGATATATACTTTCGAAGCATAGACACATGGAAAACATCATGCAATCTTGATAATTCTTTTGGTAATTCCAACCGATACGCCACTGCTCCTATTCGTTCCAGAATCTTGTAAGGTCCAATGTATCTGGGACTTAACTTACCTTTCTTTCCAAACCTCATAATACCTTTCCAAGGAGAAATACGAAGAAAAACAAAATCACCAACTTCAAATTCCAAATCTCTTCTTTTTCGCACATCTACATAACTTTTCTGTCTATCATGTGCCACTTTCATACACTGCTGAATTATCTTCACTTTTTCTGTTGTAAGTTCAATCAATTCTGGACCCAATAACTTTCTTTCCCCCACCTCATCCCAACACAATGGAGTTCTACATTTTCTCCCATACAAAGCTTCATACGGTGCCATTCCAATAGTAGACTGATAACTATTATTATAGGCAAATTCAATCAACGGTAAATAATCATCCCAATTACCTTTGAAGTCCAACACACAAGCTCTCAACATATCTTCCAAAATCTGAATAGTTCGTTCTGACTGCCCATCTGTCTGCGGGTGAAAAGCTGTACTAAACTTCAAAGAAGTTTTCATGGCTTCATGCAAACTATACCAAAATCTCGAAGTGAACTTCGGATCCCTATCACAAACAATAGAAACTGGAGCCCCATGCAAACATATGATCACATCAACATACAAACGAGCATATTCCTTTGTAGAATAAGTAGTTTTTACTGCCAGAAAGTGAGCTGATTTCGTCAATCGATCAACTATCACCCAAATAGAGTCATGTCCTCGTTTTGATCTTGGAAGTCCCGTCACAAAATCCATGGTTACATGCTCCCATTTCCACTGTGGAACTGGTAATGGCTGCAACAACCCCGCTGGTTTCTGATGTTCAGCTTTCACTCGTTGACATATCAAACACTTTGCTACAAATTCTGCAATTTCACGCTTCATATTGTTCCACCAATAGTATTCTTTCAAATCCCTGTACATTTTAGTATTCCCCGGATGCATAGCATATATAGAACTGTGGGCTTCATCTAAAATATCTTTCTTCAAGGAAACATCATTTGGAACACAAATTCGACTTTGAAAATACAAAATCCCATCATCCTTAACTATAAATTCAGTTTGCATACCCTCTTGAGCTTCTTTTCTTTTCTTATCCAGGAATACGTCATGTATTTGCAGCTCTTTAATTCTATCCAGCAACAAAGGTCTCACCGTAACATGTGCAAACAATGCTCCTTTGTTAGTAACTGTCAATTCAACTCCCATCAGTCTCAATTCCATAATATTTGCCACCCGTGCACACTGTACACAAGATAGTCTCCCTGAAGACTTCCTACTCAAGGCATCTGCTACTACATTGGCTTTTCCAGGATGATGGTGGATATTACAATCATAATCTTTGATTAACTCCATCTAACGCCTCTGTCTCAAATTTAAATCCTTCTGTGTAAACAAATACTTCAAACTCTGATGATCTGTAAATATTTCACAAAGTTCACCATACAGATAATGCCTCCACAATTTTAAAGCAAAAACAATAGCAGCTAACTCCAAGTCATGTGTAGGATAATTCAATTCATGATTCTTCAATTGTCTAGAAGCATATGCAATTACTTTACCATTTTGCATCAAAACACATCCCAGACCCTGATGTGAAGCATCAGTGTAAATCACAAAACCTTCACCACCACACGGAATAGTTAACACTGGGGCTGACGTTAACTTTTTCTTCAATTCTTCAAAACTTCTTTGGCATTCCTCACCCCACACAAACTTTACTTTTTTCCGGGTCAACTTTGTCAATGGTAATGCGATACTAGAAAACCCTTGGATGAACCTCCGGTAATAACCTGCTAATCCCAGAAAACTTCTGACTTCTGTCACATTAGTAGGCCTTTCCCATTTTACCACTGCTTCCACTTTTGATGGGTCAACATAAATACCATCCCCAGATACTACATGCCCCAAAAAGACAACTTTATCAAGCCAAAACTCACATTTGCTGAACTTAGCAAAGAGTTGTTTTTCCCGTAACATCTGTAACACAATTCTTAAATGCTTTTCATGTTCATCCACACTCCGAGAATATATCAAAATATCATCGATGAAGACAATAACAAAAGAATCAACGTACCGATGAAATACTCGATTCATTAAATCCATAAACACCGCTGGAGCATTGGTTAACCCAAAAGGCATTACCAAAAACTCATAATGACCATATCGAGTTCGAAAAGCAGTTTTCAAAATATCACTATCCTTTACCTTCAACTGGTGATATCCTGACCTCAAATCAATCTTAGAAAACACCTTTGCCCCTTGCAACTGATCAAACAGATCATCAATTCGTGGCAATGGATACTTATTTCTGATGGTCACTTTATTTAACTGTCTGTAGTCAATACACAACCGCATAGTACCATCCTTCTTCTTAACAAATAACACCGGTGCACCCCACGGTGAAATACTAGGTCGAATAAAGCCTTTATCTAGTAAATCTTGCAACTGTATCTTCAACTCTTTCAATTCTGTCGGTGCCATTCGATACGGAGCAATAGAAATTAGAGTTGTTCCTGGTACCAACTCAATGGTAAAATCTACCTCCCTGTCCACTGGCAACCCTGGTAATTCTTCTAGAAACACATCTGTGAATTCCCTTACCACTGGTACATTTTCAAGTGTCATATCTTTATTTTCAGTATCAACCACATAAGCCAAGTAACCCTAACACCCTTTCTTCAACAACTTCCTGGTTTGTATAGCTGAAATGAGACAGTTTGGAATAACATTTCTTTCTCCTGTAAATCTAAATTCTGGCTCCCCTGGTATCTGAAAAACAACTTCTTTCCGAAAACAGTCTATTGAAGCATGATACGCAGATAGCCAATTCATACCCAAAATGATATCAAAATCTGGTATACCCAACGGTATCAAATTTACCTTTAACTGTCTATCTCCCAATTGTAACACACAATCCCGGTATTCATTTGCAACCACTACCACTTCTCCCATTGGTGTAGAAATAAACAATTTACTATCTAATGATGAAAGTGGTCTACCCAAATGCATAGCAATAGATGATGCAACAAATGAATGGGTTGAGCCAGGATCAATAAGCACAGTAACATTTCTATCCAAAATAGAAAGTGTACCTGTCACCACTTCTGGTGTTGCTTGAGCATCCTGAAGTGTCATAGCAAACACTCTTCCCTGGGCTTGCGAACCACTTGTAACACCCTTACCTCCTCTTGACGAGTTCCCCTGTGCAAAACCTCTACCAGAACCAGCAACACTGCCCACTGAGGTCATTCCTGTCAACATAGGACAATCTCTCCTCCGATGACCCGGCTGATGGCAATGATAGCACTCTTCTGCTTTCAAGATAGGACAATCCTTCTTCTGGTGACCTTCCTTTCCGCACTGAAAACACCCCCTGCCAGTACCATGTCCTCCAAAACTACCTTGTTGTACAGATTGTTGTTCGGAAAACACTTGACCTCTTCCAATACTTGATGTCTGGCCTTGAGATTCACCACCCCTTCCCCTTCCATACCGCGACCTTTGACTTTTCTGACTTGCAATTCCTTCACCTCCTCTTGACTGTGACGGCTTAGATCTATTTCTTTTGTATTGTTCCCTTCTTTCTTGCAATTCTTTCACATCCCTTTCGGCAATCATGGCTTTATTCACAAGTCTGTTGTAATCTGTTTCCTCAAACACTGAAACTCTAGACTTAATAGCCGCCTCTAAACCATCCTGGAATTTTGTACATTTATCTTCTTCATTCTGTACAAACTTGGGTGCGAACCTCGATAAAGCTGTAAACTTAACTTCATAATCAACCACAGACATTCTATCTTGTTTTAGGAGAATAAACTCCCGTTCCTTCTCTTTTCTGTAAATTGGAGGGAAATATTTCTCATAAAAAGCTTTAACAAATGGATTCCAGAATATCACCTCTTTCTCTCCTGGAGTGAGCAACAAATGTTTTGTCGTGTCCCACCAATAACTAGCTTCATTTTTGAACATAAATGTAGCTAAGTTTACCTTCTGGTCTTCTGCTGCACCCATCACTGCAAATATCGATTCCATTCTTCTTACCCACCCCTCTACTTCTTCTGGTTTGGTAGTACCTGAAAATTCTGGGGGTGTTAACTTGATAAACCTCTCATACTCAGAGCCTTTCTTCCATTTCTGTTGTCTTTCCAGCTTTTCTTGTATCATCATTTGACTCGCCATAAATAGTTTGTTTTGTTCTGCCAAGTCTATTATAGCCTTTTCCATTTTCTACATACCAGTTAAGCACTCCTGTTCTCTTCTCATACCACCCTGCATAGGTTGTTCTACTTCAGCCTCAACAGGAACATAAGTGGCTTCACCCTCAGTTCCATGATAACCACTTTCCCTTTCCATTTCTTTTTATCTGCAATGAATCTCAAATATAACAACATATATATGATACATAATCACCACTTATATCTGTTAGTATAACATTAAGTCAAATAAATGACTCTACTACACACTTCTTACTGCCACTGCCAGTCTAGACTCTTCTCACCTCCAGAACCTAGAAAACCTAGGCTCTGATACCAAAAGTTGACACACCCCAACCCAACTTACATTATTAAACAAATTGAATAAATTGGAATGCATCTAACCATCTGCATTAACCTCCTTCAAATATAACGTCATCCTACATCAGAGCACCTGTTTAACAGTTTACAATTCAAAAACTACCTATAGGCCTGTTATGCAAATTCTGACAAACAAAAATATTAACGGCAACTTATACTATTAAATTCTATTACAATATTTACATATTAAACAAAAGACGTTCCATTGTTCTTTTTCCCATTCCCACTCAAAAATTCTAGACCTGGCAGTAGCGACCCAACCTTGTACCTGAAAAAAATATAGATATGGAAGGAGTGAGCTTAAAGCCCAGTGAATGCAACACTACTACATCAGAGTAATATAAACAAATATTATCTGATAACTTCAATTAAACTTCATTAATATATTACAGGCATTAAAATATAGTACTCTCCTTCTAGGCCAGAGTATGGACCTGGTTTAGATATAGTACTCTCTTTCTTGGCCAGAGTATGGACCTTATTTAGTGTAGTACTCTCTTTCCAGGCCAGAGTATGGACCTTATATAATATATTACTCTCCTTCCAGGCCAGAGTATGGACCCTATTTAAATATAATCAAATTATATATATTCATCTTCAACTCACATAAACAACTTCAATACTTCAATTAAACACATCCAGGTATAAACTTCCAGTGAGTACACTCACCTTGGCTACTTTTCAAATTGTCTACTTATCCTTTGATATTGCTGAAGTGATCAGTTCATTCTCCTTGCCTTTGCTTGAATTCAACAACAATTTAGAGAGAAAACACCCTTTTTTCTTTTCTATCCTCCTCCTCCGTATTTTTCTTCTCTCTTTGAACTATCACTAAATAGCTCACTGTTTTGATATATTTTGTGTGTCTCAACCAAAACAATTGCTTTCTCAAAGGCGGTCCAAACAGGTTTAAAAAGATAGAATTAACCTTATCTATATATAGAGTATATCTACATAATTGCGTGTCCTGTGTGTTCGGTCCAGCCTTGTGCTGCCAGCAACCTGACTTTACTCATCTCTATCCATATAAATGATAATTGAAACCTATATATATATACAACTATATATTGCAGCCACCAGCCACCACTTTAAAGCATAATAACTTTAGTCTTGAAAAGTATATAGTCACATGGATGGTGTAAATCTAGTCTCCTGGAAATGTAAATTGTCACATAGCTTATGTGACATGTGTTACCCAAAGTTTAATAATATTTTCTTCTTCATATTCATACATATACAAAACCTCACCATTCAACTACACTTCGGTACATATACACACACATGAACTTACAAATGAAAAGTGTATTCCCTGAGTTCTCATTACAATTAAATGTGCAAATTTAAGCTCAAATAAGAATTAAATAAATTCACCATAATAAATTCACATATAATCTCAGTGCATGACACATGTAACATGAACTCAATTAATAAAATTTCCCAAGGAACTTTAATGTATATAATAAATAATATAGATATGAAACTTCTTCATATATTAAGCATTATATACATTCAATATCACTTGCACCCACTTTATTTTACAATTACCAAACCCAACAATTCATAGTGTCACACATACTAACACCCACGCCCCACATACTATATCAATGAAAACAATAGTATTCTTCTTATTACTTATTTTATTACCATGGGCTGCCACCAACTTAATAAGTTTTTTACACTAACTATTAACTTCACCATACAACCTACTACATAAAATATTCCATAAATTATGTCTACTAAAAATTAAATTATGCTAATAAAAATAATTATGTATTGGGGCCTTGCAATAAAGATACCCTTTATGTCACTAGACCTTTTTTAATGTATAAATATTGAATCTTTGGAAGAAAATTAGTGTTTTGTGTGCAACTTATTCGAGTTGGCTTTGACATCACGAAGAGTGTTTTAATGAGGAAAGATTGAATCTTTGAATCAAATTACCTCATTCATGGTACCTATTATGTCACTAGATCTTTTTAATGTATAAAGATTGAATCTACGAAGGAAAATGAGAGTTTTGAGTTTAACTTATTCGAGTTCCCTATAAAGTCCTGAAGAGTGTTTTAGTGAATAAAGATTGAATCTTTGAATGAAAATACTTCAATCAATGTACCCATTATGTCACTACACGTTTTTAATGTATAAAGATGGAATCTATGAAAGAAAATAAGAGTTTTGAGATAAACTTATTCAGGTTTCCTTTGATGTCACGAAGAGTACTTTAATGAGTAAAGATTGAATCTTTGAATGAAATTACCTGAATCAAGATACCTATTATGTCACTTGACCTTTTTAATTTATAATCTTTGAAAGAAAATGTATGTTCTGAGTTTAACTTATTCGAGTTCCCTATGCAGTCGCGAAGAGTGTTTTAATGACTAAAGATTGAATATTTGAATGAAAATAACTCAATCAAAGTACCTATTATGTCACTAAACCATTCTAATGTATAAAGATTAAATCCTTGAAAGAAGATGAGAGTTTTGAGCTAAACTTATTCGAGTTACCTTTGACATCACGAAGAGTGTTTTAATGAGTAAAGAAGGAATCTTCGAATGAAATTACCTCAATCAACGAACCTATTATTTCACTAGATCTTTTTAATGAAAAAAGATTGAATCCTCGAAACAAAATGAGAATTTTGAGTTTAATTTATTCGATTTCCCTATGAAGTCGCGAAGAGTGTTTTAATAACTAAAGAAAGAATCTTTAAATCAAAATACCTCAAACTAGGTACAAATTATGTCACCAGACATTTTCAATGCATTAGGATTGAATCTTTGAAAGAAGATGAGAGTTTTGAGTTCAACTTATTCGAGTTCCCTTGGATGGCACGAAGAGTGTTTTAACGAGTAAAGGTTGAATTTTGGAATGAGAGTTTTGAGTTTAACTTATTCGAGTTCCCTATGAAGTCCCGAAGAGTGTTCTAATGACTAAAGATTGAATCTTTGAATGAAAAATACCTCAATCAAGGTACCCGATATATCACTAGGCGTTTTTAATATATGAAGATTGAATCTTTGAAAGAAAATAAGAGTTTTGAGTTAAACTTATTCAAGTTCCCTTTGACGTCACGAAGAGTACTTTAATGAGTAAAGATTGAATCTTTAAATGAAATTACTTGAATCGAGATACCTATTATGTCACTCGACCTTTTTAATTTATAAAGATTGCATCTTTGAAAGAAAATGTGAGTACTGAGTTTGACTTATTCGAGTTCCTAAAGCAGTCGCGAAGAGTGTTTTAATGACTAAAGATTGAATCTTTGAACGAAAATACCTCAATCAAAGTACCTATTATGTCACTAGACCATTTTAATGTATGAAGATTAAATCTTTGAAAGAAGTTGAGAGTTTTGAGTTAAACTCGTTCGAGTTACCTTTGACATCACAAAGAGTGTTTTAATGAGTAAAGATGAAATCTTTGAATGAAATTGCCTCAACCAAGGAACATATTATGTCACTAGACCTTTTTAATGAATAAAGATTGAATCCTTGAAACAAAATGAGAATTTTGAGTCTAACTTACTCGATTTCCCAATGAAGTCGCGAAGAGTGTTTTAATGACTAAAGAATGAATCTTTGAATCAAAATACCTCAATCAAGGTATAAATTTTGTCACTAGCCTTTTTAATGCGTAAAGATTGAATCTTTCAAAATAGATGAGAGTTTTGAGTTCAACTTATTCGAGTTCCCTTTGACGTCGCGAAGAGAGTTTTAATGAGTAAAGATTGAATGTTGGAATGAAATTACCTCAATCCAGGTACCTATTAAGTCACTTGACCTTTTTAATGTTTAAAGATTGAATCTTTAAAAGAAAATGAGAGTTTTGAGTTTAACTTATTCGAGTTCCCTACGAAGTCGCGTAGCGTGTTTTAATGGACAAAGATTGAATCTTTGGATGAAATTACCTCAATCATGGTATCTATTATGTCACTAGGCCTTTTTAATGTATAAAGATGAAATCTTTGAACTAAAATGAGAGTTTTGAGTTAAACTTATCCGAGTTACCTTGGACATCACGAAGAGTGTTTTAAGGAGTAAAGATAGAATCTTTGAATGAAATCTCCTCAATTAAGGTACCTATTATGTCAATAAACCTTTTTAATGTAAAAAGGTTGAAACTTTGGAAAAAAATGAGAGTTTTGAGTTTAACTTATTCGAGTTCCCAATGAAATGTCGAAGAGTGTTTTAATGACCAAAGATTGAATCTTTGAATGAAAATATTTCAATCAAGGTACCCATTATGTCACTAGACGTTTTTAATATATAAAGATTGAATCTTTGAAATAAAATGAGAGTTTTGAGTTAAATTTATTCAAGTTCCCTTTGACGTCCCGAAGGGTGTTTTAATGAGTGAAGATTGAATCCTTGGATGAAAATTCCTCAATTAAGGTACATATTTTGTCACTAGAACATTTTAATGTATAAAGATTAAATCTTTGATAGAAAATGATTGTTTTGAGTTAAACTTATTCGAGTTCCCCTTGACGTCACGAAGAGTGTTTTAATGAGTAAAATTGAATCTTTGATGAAATTACCTCAATCAAGGTACCTACTATGTCACTAGGCCGTTTTAATACATAAAGGGAGAATCTTTGAAGGAAAATGATAGTTTTGAGTTTAACCTATTCGAGATTTCATATGAAGTCGCGTAGAGTATTTTAATGACTAAAGATTGAATCTTTGAATGAAAATACCTTAATCAAAGTACCTACTATGTCACTAGACATTTTTAATGTATAAAGATTAAATCTTTGAAAGAAAATGAGAGTTTTGAGTTAAACTGATTCGAATTCCTTTTAAAGTCACGAAGAGTGTTCTAAGGAGTAAAGATTGAATCTTTGAATTCCCTTTGACGTCACGATAAGTGTTTTAATGAGTAAAATATTGCATCTTTGAATGAAAATACCTCAATAAAGATACCCATTATGCACTAGAGCTTTTTTAATGTATAAAGATTAAATCTTTGGAAGAAAATTAGTGTTTTCTGTTGAACTTTTTCGAGTTCCCTTTGACATCACGAAGAGTGTTTTTATTGCGTAAAGATTGAATCTTGGAATGAAATTACCTAATTCAGGGTACCGATTGTGTCACTAGACCTTTTTAATGTATAAAATTGAATATACGAAAGAAAATGAGAGTTTTGAGTTTAACTTATTCGTGTTCCCAACGAAGTCCTGAAGAGTGTTTTAATGACTAAATATTGCATCTTTGAATGAAAATACCACAATAAAGATACCCTTTATGTCACTAGACCTTTTTTAATGTATAAATATTGAATCTTTGGAAGAAAATTAGTGTTTTGTGTGCAACTTATTCGAGTTGGCTTTGACATCACGAAGAGTGTTTTAATGAGTAAAGATTGAATCTTTGAATCAAATTACCTCATTCACGGTACCTATTATGTCACTAGATCTTTTTAATGTATAAAGATTGAATCTACGAAGGAAAATGAGAGTTTTGAGTTTAACTTATTCGAGTTCCTTATGAAGTCCTGAAGAGTGTTTTAGTGAATAAAGATTGAATCTTTGAATGAAAATACTTCAATCAATGTACCCATTATGTCACTAGACGTTTTTAATGTATAAAGATGGAATCTATGAAAGAAAATAAGAGTTTTGAGATAAACTTATTCAGGTTTCCTTTGATGTCACGAAGAGTACTTTAATGAGTAAAGATTGAATCTTTGAATGAAATTACCTGAATCAAGATACCTATTATGTCACTTGACCTTTTTAATTTATAATCTTTGAAAGAAAATGTAAGTTCTGAGTTTAACTTATTCGAGTTCCCTATGCAGTCGCGAAGAGTGTTTTAATGACTAAAGATTGAATATTTGAATGAAAATAACTCAATCAAAGTACCTATTA